AAGGCAATTAAACCATCGCTAAGAGTTGCCAAAGTCTTAACAGTAGCATCATTTCTGAAAAGTCCAATTCCAAAATCTCTTCTGAAACTTAAGGCAGACTTCTTAGGTGTGAGCTCTTCTATAAATGAAAAAGAAAGTTAAATATTTCCAACATACATATAGCACAGGGTAAACATTCCCATTCCAAAAGGGAGGAATGAAGGAAATATTATATATATTTGGCCAAAGAAGTTTTACTAAAAAATTTTTTTAAAGTTTAAGAAATGATTATGTGCAATCTTACAAATCTATGCTAGAATTTAGGAAGCCAAAGCAAACCAGAATTTTATAAGATTTGTGTGTAAACTTGTTAAATCTTGACAAGTGTAGTTCAAGTTAAAACAATGAAAGCAGGTATTTCTCTCTTATAAACACTAATGTAAAAATGCTTTATAAAATTATATTTATCTTTTTTGACTTTCTGAGACAGTGTCTTGCTATGTATTTCAGGCTTTCCTTGAACTCACTATATAGCCAAGGCTGGCCTCGAACTCAGGGCAATCTTCCTGCCTCAACCTTCAGAGTGCTGAAATTACAGTCATGTACCACCATGCTCAGCTATAAAATATTTTAAAATTCAAAGTAAAAATATGTTAAAGGTATAACATCTTATGTTCTCATCAGGTTGTTCCAGAAGTGTAGAACTTTTTTTTAATAGGACTTAAATTAATGGGTTTTATTAAAATGAAAGAATATTAAAAATTTTTATCACATTAAATTTCAGAGTTTCAACCCCACTCAAGTAGATTTTGATAATTTTTGAGATTTATGCATCATAAAAATGTTTAGCAAAAGATGAGTGGAAGATGATTTCTTTATCTCAGCAATGAATAGTTTAAACATTTCCCAAGGAATATAACATATGTAAATGGAATGAAAATGAAAGCATTCATATTATTTTCAGAAAATATACAAAAGTCTTACTTATTATTATTCCTATTCATCACTGTGCCTTAAGAATAGAAAAGAAAAGGCAATAGAAACAAAAATTAAGCTCATAATTTTGTTAACCACAGATGATGTTAATTTTTTTGTTTTGTTTTGTTTTTTGAGACAGGGTCTCACTGTGTAGTTGAGGCTGACCTGGAACTCACTATGTAGCCCAGGCTGGTCTCAAACTCACAGAGATCCTCCTGTCTCAGCCTCCCAAGTGCTGGGATTACATAAAATAATCTATAGACAAATGATTATTAATATGAGTTTAGTAATATTTCTGGTTAAGAAAAATCAATATGCAAAAGAACCCATCTTTATACAAAACCAGAACCTCTTCCTTCAATTTGAAAAATATAATGTATAATAACATGAATAATAATTTTTGAGAAATTAAAAATATAACAGAAGGCTTTAAGATATATTTTCTTAATAGTTAGAAGCAGAAAAATAGCAGTGGTGGAGACTGTTTCAGGTTATCCTCTTTTTTTTTTTTTTTTT